GAGAATTTATATCCATGAAGGTTTTATATCTTGAGAATGTCCCCCATAAAGTGTTACCAAATTAAAAGCAAGCACTTTAGGACTTCTGAGGACACATTTCCTTGAAAGTCTGCTTTTTCAGTTGTGTGCATTTCAGGTTTACACCTTTTGTAGCAGCAGTGCATTTTTTATAAGTAGGTAGACAAGTAAAAGCATAACTCCCAAAGTACCTGAGGTATATACCTACAGAAAGAACATATATACTTCTCAGGAGCTCAGCAGTCAACTGTACGATGTTTAAATATTTCTTCTCTTCCTCCTGGCAACTGTAATCAGTGGTGTAAAAAATTAAAAGGAAAAGAAAAGGGGTTTTGTTTCAGAAAGTGATTATGGACTTATATCTCCAACTCTGCTCTTCACATGGATTTATAAAGGCACCCTCAGATTAGATACAAACTGGCTGTTCTATTTACAGGTATGATGCGTCTAATACACTGCACCTCAGAATAGCATAACTCAGGACTGTAGTCCTAAGGCAGGCTGGGAAAACTCTTCCTCTCTCATATCTGGCCATAACTAATGTCAGCATATTGTATATGAACACATTTTTATGTAGGTGTTTTAAAAGGCAACAATACTCCATCTATTATATGCAGATTCAGTGACATAGGCACAAGTTATGGCATGCACCTTGTAGGTCTGTACTAACTTCACTGTTTGGGATCATAGGTGAGGAGTATGAAGAGAAGCTGCAGTTGGAAGAAGAGAAAAGAGCAGCTGATGAAAAACTCAGATACAAACGAAGACGGACCAAGGAGCTTCAGGAGGACGTTCAGGTAAAATGCACATGACTTCCAAGTATATCACCAAAGCCAAACTCTTTCATATCTTTTTTCTGAAGGATTACACATCATTCCAGAAGTATTTCTCCTGCACTATCTGTGTGATTCTCTATACCCCTTTCTAATGCTCCAGGATAATGGAAAAAAAATTCAAAGGTGCTTGATTCACATGGGAGCCTATGTCCCATTTTCAATGGTGATTTAAGGTTCTAAGTCTGAATTCTACTGAGTTTTCTCCCCTAAGACAGACGGTTAAGTGACTGTGTGAGATTCACAAAGGGAATTAGTACATAAGCCCAAAATCTAGGTCCTCAAATCATCTACTTGCAGCTGTCATCTAATCCTGGAATTGCCCAAGTTTCTGATACTAAAGTTCCTAAGGTACTGGATCAGATAGGTACTCTAAGCACAGCTAGCAGACCAGGCTCCACACAAAATGCAGGAAGTCACATCCTGGCTGAATGATCTGAGTAGAGGGAGGCACCTTTCTGCAGCTTAGAGCAGGATGTCAAAGGCATGGAGACAGCATAGGGCTTAAAACACCCTTTTCCCTCAGCCCTTACTGAGGACTACCTTAAGTGGCTCTCTTGGGCTGGAATCATCAATCCCATTCTTAGACCTCTAAAAGCATATCTGTCCAATGCAAGGCTGTGCTATGCAGAGATGCTCAACCTGGTTCTGGACACTAATGCATGCAGAGCTAAAAACAGTATAGTTGTGTTAGCTTGGTGCTATGTCTGGACTAATTTGCTCTCCTTGGTTCCATAGTTAGCGGGAGTATCAGCATAATGCTGCCTTGCAGATTACAGACATATCTCAGATGATTAAAGGACTAGAGAAAGCCAGCCCAGTAAGCAACAGCATACTTAAAGGAGCTAATTAACTCAGGTGCAGTACTTCACTAACAGATATATTGCTCTTGGTTGCAGAACTAGCATGGACACCTTCACATATCACTTAAGTGCACCTTGTAACTCTCCCCACACATTGTTTAGGCAGCCTATGGGAGCTTGGATGTTGTTAGTTCCACCAGGAAGCTAAGTAGCTAGATTGGGGGTGGGCAAAATACCGCCCATGAGCTGTATCCAGCCTGATCACCATTGGGAGCCCAAGGAGGGAGGGCTGCACCCTAAGCTGCTGGGCTGTGCCACAGAGCACACAGACTTCTCTGCCCTGGCCCCCAGCCAAATTCACCCCCACCCCATCTGGCTTCTTGTTGGTGTTGTGGCTGTGCAGTCCTGGCATCACGGTCACTGGCAGCTGGGCCCGCATGGGATGGGGATGATGCAGCGCACTGAGTAGCCTGCCACCATGAGCCGTTACCACCACAGCACCACTAGGAGGTGAACCTGTGCTGGCCGTAGAGCGGGCTCAGCCTGGGACAGCCACCTTTGACTTTCTTGGTGCAACACAGCAACAGCAGTTCATCACAGTGGGCGGGCAGAATGGACATTTGGCACGCTACACTGCCTCCCTATCCTGTATGGGCCTGGCTGCTGGTGGCCACAGTGCCAGGACTCCACAGTGCCAATAGGAAGCCAGGTCAGGGGAGGTGGAGATGGGTGGGGGGAAGGGAGTGGCCAAGGAGTCTGCACACTGCCTGGCCTGACCTAGGCCCAGCTCCAGCTGTGACAGCAGAGTGGCACAGCATACTCCCCTCCCTCAAGCTCCTGGCAACAACCAGCAGGTCAGATAGGATCAACTGACATCTCCCCAGACCCCCATCCTCAACAGTCACCAAAACTCATTAAGTGGCTCTCCAGCCCAAATAATTGCCCACCTAGATGTTTAGCACTGCAATGTTTAATATAGGAGTGCCTAAGCTTCATTAGGAATTTCTGTACATTTTATTCAAGGCTGATCGTTCTTATCAGGTGTAAAATAAAGTTTCCATACATAGGAACTATATTTAAAGACCTAGTTATAAGTTATTATGCATAAATACCTGACATACAGGCAAGAGAATTGAAAGTCTAGTTTCATGATGTTGATACTTTCAGGACACAATCTATGGTTAAAAACAACTAACAGTAAAAACTAAGGCCCCAGGCAGACATTACACTTAAGATGCAATTAACCTGATTAATTGACTGGATGCTCCCAGCCATGGGAGCACTACTTCCCAGTGCAAAGGGAGCCCAGGAACATGATTACAGGCTTCGCTCTGCCACTTCAATATGGTGCACTTGGGATCTGATCCTCGATCCCACAATTGCACCTCTTGCCATGCACATATCCATAACAGGAGGCCCAATTGTTGGGACTGTGCCTCAGATCCCATCATACCTTTAACCATCACAACCTAAGTTATAAGAGAGATCCTAGTACAAAACATTAATAAAATATTGGAAGAATTTCAGAAGCCTTCATTAACTATTTAAAGTTAATACCGTTTTTTAAACTAATTAAAAACACTGCTCAAAATACTGTGCATTATATTAGATCTGTGCTTATTTTTGCAGAGTATGGAAAATACTTTGGCCATCATGCTAAAACAGGAGGCTGCCTACCAAGAAGAGAGAGAGGAGAAACAAGCTTATGTTTTGCAGCTTAACAAAGTCACAAATGAGCAGAAGCCAAAATTAGAAAGGATCATGAAACAGGTTGGTTAAACTAATTCATGACAACTCATTAGTGTGAGTGATATTAGGAACAAAATAAACCGCATGTTTACCTTCAAGTCAGTTACTGTGAACACTGAGACTGAATCCACGTGAGCAGGGCCATGCATTTGCAGCAGCGCAAATTTTGTGCCGCTTTATGCTGCAGTGAACATCCCCATTCATGCTATTTGCTGTGGGACACATTGTCCTGCTGCTCCACGTACTGCAGGGGGGCTGGCTGGGCCAAAGTCTGCCTCAGCACACGGCTAGCCAGTAGGCAGCCCCCACACCCTAGACAGCCAGGAAGCAGCAGAGAAGCCAGGAAGCTAAGGCTGCCTGCTCCCCCATCTCCACACACTGCAAAGCCCCTGCTGAGACACATGGAGCACCTGTGCTGAGGCACACTGCACCCCAGTCAGCTGCTCCCCCATCTCAAAGCACTGTGCCCCAGCCAGCTGGTGTGAAGCTTGCTGGGGCACAGTGTGCCTCAGCGTGGGGGGTCTGCACCAGAGCCTCTGCACTGAGGCACACAGAGACAGCCCAGAAGGCTGCCTGCTCCCGTCCCGACGCACGCTGCACCCCAGCCAACCAAAGAGTTGGTTGGGGTGCAGGGTGCCTCTGCGCAGGAGCTCTAGCACATGGAGGACGGGCTGCTCCCATCTCTGCGTTTGTTCTGACACAACACTTGTGTGCTCTGTACCGCCTTTTTTTTTTTTTTTCCAGGGATTTTATTTGGTACTGGGAAATCCTGGCAGCAAATTTTGCCCCAGCACTGCTAATTACCAGGATGGCACACTGTTTAACATGCAACACATGCCGTTTGTGGCACCACATAAGAAGTTTGTGGTACCACAAACTGCACGTGCCTGCGTGTCTGGATCCTGCCTGAGTGTTTGAAGATGTATTCAAATTCTGTTTTTCACAATACAGTACATCCCCAACTAAATAGCAGTTTTATTTACTAACTTGTATGTGTTCATATTTAACAAACTATTCTTTCAAAGTTTCATATAGTACAATAACCTGTAACTGTTGGTATTGTGTAACAATCTGTTCTCTTAAGTTACACTGCATTTAATATTACATGTGTTATATTTTCAGTTTGTTATCACAACGTTAAGTTCGCTATAGCTTTATATTCCACAACATAATTCGTTACAAGATGCTGTGGTCTCACTGATCTGAACAGTTTTTAGTGGGTACTTTCCAAAAGGGGTTTAAGATAACCAAAAATGTACTGCTAATTTGTGACAGTGTTCCAGATTATCCAGAGAAGTTCGATCTTCAAAGAAAACTAAAACAGAAACACAGGAAGAAAAAGACATTGATCTCCGTGAACTGAAAGATTTTAACAGAACCATTGACAAGTTGTTGGTGGATGTTCTTGAAGCAAATCCTGACTTAATTACACCCTTTGAAGCATACTTTCAACAGGTAAAAATATTAATTGGCATACCAAAAAAACCCGACCCAACTCAACACAGCAAAGGAAGGGCTCTGTATGCTAGTGAGTCCAGCAACTCTCCCAGCTAAATGGTTGGCACAGTAAAAGACTACCAAACAAATCGGCTTCATGCAAAAAAAAACGTAACATTGCAATGTAGTTACTTCAGTGATTCCAAGGAACTCTGGCTATTTCATAAGAAAGTAGGGCTATTTGAAAAAAATAAGGGTTGTATTTAACTCTTGCTATTAGTATTGATAATACAAAGATTTGCATGCTTTAACTGGCTTCTATATCCCCATTATATCTGATCCTCCAATAAAAGACTAATAAAATCTCTTATCTTCTAGTCTGGTTTAGAACTTCCTACAGCTGCTTCCAGTGGTAGTAGTCACAGTTCTCGATCATCCTCTTCTCAGAGTTCAGTGGCCTCTGTCAGGTGAGTGAGCATTTCCTTTTTTTAGCCAAAAATTCACCCAGATACTGTCCTGAGTGGTAGAACTTGGTTCTGTGTACCTTGCAAGGCTAATTTGCTATTCCTTATACTTATTTCCAGCTCCCTTATCTTTCTCGTCCTACTAGCTCATTCTTTTGACTAGTAAAAGAATATTTCTTACTTCCTTCAAGTCCTTTGGATCCTTCTGATAAACAGCCAATATCAGTTTGACTTGGAATTGTCATATTAGATGCATGGACATGTCTTCTGTCTGCCTAGCCTGGTTCAATCCAATTCAAGTCAAGATAATAATGGAATCAAACATGCCCAGTCATTGTACCCTGCTGTTTTGTCACATTCCACGCTTCCCTTTCCTCCACTGTCCTACTTTTCCACTTCCACTCGAACACATTTATTTTTAAATGGTTTCAGATAAAGGTGTACCACAGGCGTGGCTGGTGAACTCAAACTGGTGGAGCAGCCTGTGGGGGTGGGGGGAATTTGCAGCCAGCTGGTAGCAGACCAGCTGCAAAACCCATCCCATGGGATGCTTCACTGCCCTACCAGTCTGAGTTCACCAGCTGCACCTAGTGCTCCAATATATCGGAGTGTTCGGCTCGTAAGTCTGTTGGGGGGGGGAGGGGGGGAAGGGGTGTGGAGGGGGGCAGATTGAGGCCCCCACGGTGAGGGAGGAGGGGAGCTAGGGCTGAGACAGGCCCTGCCTAGCCAGGGCAGGGTGCAGGACAGAGCTATGAGCAGCTCGTCTGGGTGGCATAGGAAAGAAGGAGTGGTTTCTGCTTGTGTGCACCCCAGGGGAGGCATGGGGGGGGGGGTTGCGGCCCCAAATCTGTGCACGCTAGGGCCAGGGGCTGGGCTCTTCCCGGTGGGGGCGGGGCTGCACTTAGAGCAGGTGATGGCAGTGCTGGGAAGGGAGCCATAGTGAATTCTGGGTGGCCACAGCTCACTCCACAGCCCCTCCCAGCACTGCTGCTGCCCACCCCAAGTGCAACCTCAGTCTAACCCCCCCTCCAGGAAGAGCCCAGCCCCTGGCTCCAGCCCACAGCAGCAGCAGCCTTTCCAAGCTGAAAGGGCTACATATCTGCAACTGGATCAGTATCAGCCAATATGGTTTGTTAATAATCGGCCATCGGTATCGGCCCAAAAAATCTATCTGTGTACCCCTAGTTTCAGAGGACACAACTATTTTCCTTGCTGCTGGGGTTCTCCACTTGCAGCTTGTAGTCTAGCAGCTTTAAATTCAATTCCTTTTCCCAGTTAAATAACAACACATGGGTGTGTGGCTGTGCAAGTTTTAAATACTGTTCTGTTGAATACCTCTAATAAATCATTTGTTCCTCTGCAGAGGAAATATTCCATGGTCATGGTCTAAATGGACATCCAGCAGCCATTAGGAAAAAAAAAAGTTTTGTCTTTAAAATGTTCAGATGTCATACTAATTTCATTTTCTGCCTTTTTTAGATCATCCAGGAGCAACAAAGGCTCAGCTTCTGGTCAAGTATCATTACCTAAAGTTGTAGATTTGAGCTTGTCAATCAGTCCTCCTGCTTCAGCTGCTGGTGCTAGTTCACGGCCCTCTAGTGCAGCTAGCAGCTCAAGTAACCTTTGCAGCAGAAAAAACCTGAAATAATTTGAATTTTATTGTGGAGTGTTCACATCCCACTAGCAGTGCTTCTACATTATTTTAATAATTATTTAATGCTCTCTTCCTTATTTATCAAGATCTTCTAACATAGAAATGTTTACTGTATTAAGATATGCTTTTCAACTTAGTTGCTAGTAAAGGTTCATGCTAAACCACCTGAAGCAGTGAGTTACAAATTAACAAATACAACATTAAATGAAACCGTCTCTAATTTGTCACTGGGTTCATGCTGTAGAAACTAAATGGCTTTGGGGAAACCGCTTCAGCAATTCAGATTCTTGTGACAAAAGGGGCAGTCTCTCTGTGCATCAGTAACCAGTCTTCCTATTCCTTCTTAAAAATTGACCATTAACGTTACAGTTCTTTTGTATTGAGCAAAATACTGATTCATAGTCATAAAGAATGCCATCTCCAAATAGATGTGGTCTTCACTTCAGAACATTACAATTTGGCTTGATTTCTCCATACTGCAAAATTGGGAACAGGGGGAGAATAAGTTTATAAACAAAGCCAGCTTTCCATTTCCACTATTTTAATCTATATTTATACCAAAGCCACATGTCAGGTAACACTTTAATAGTGAGTGGCAAATTAACATTTGCTTTGCTTCAAAAACAGTTTGAAACAGGCTGTCAATCTTTCACACTGCAGACTACGTCTCAACAGAAAAAGTCTGTCTTGTAGGCTGCTTCTCATCCCCATTCAGAACCACACAGTATATCCTTATGGCAACTACAACATATATTAAGAATGTATTTTATAGACAACCAGCTGTAAACAAGGACAAATAGCACCCTGTGATCACCCAGATCATCAAGTCCAGGTCACCAAGTGCTCTGCCAACCAGAGTTTAAAACCTTATGTTTCAAGAAACGGTGGCCCATCCACAACAGCACTGGTCCTATATAACTATTTCCCTAAAACTATGGTCAAAAACCATTTCTGATGATACATTTGGGATATCAGTACTAATGTAGGGCACAGACACCCACCTCTACCTCACTTTCCTCACCTGTAAAATGAATATAGCACCATCTTGCTGCTTAGGGGCAATGGAAGAACAAACATATTTCTGTTTCAGAAAGCACTATGGAAATCTTTTGGGATGGATGCACACATCACCAATACAATCAACTATTCAGTGTTAAATAAACAGCTAAGTACATTCAAGTGAAACAAATATTAATTTTAATAAAATTCAATGATTAAAGAAGTTTATATACATTGATGGCACATCAGCTTCAGTCAAATAATCCCTTTCAGTAGCTGAAGGTTAGGTCTAATACAAAAATAGTAACAGTCAATAGAACCTTAAGATTGCCTGTGTGTTTAAAGTGCAAATCCGATACCAGTCACACAACTAGCTATATTTTAAGGGTAATGAAGAATTAAGTTTTCACCCGATTAAACATTATAATACAGGAGCATCTTAAGTAAGAGCACAGTGAACTAAGATCTTAAGAAGCTGGCTGATATAACATGAAATACTCTTGCGTATATCTGCATGTCAAATGATCTCTTATAATTTAACTTATGCCAACCTTTAACAAACACTTTCCAAGACAGAAGAGATAGCTCTGCCAGTTTTTATAGGCATTTTAAGGGCACACACTTTCCACAAGGGACACCAGAGTTAAAAAATATCCTTTAACTGCATCCAACATAATGCATTATTTTTCTACGCAATTCATTGGTTTTTCTGCTTACTTCCTTTTTCTCTCTCAAATTCAGCAATCTGATTGAATATATTGATTAAGTTCTGGGGCAGGCTCCTTTTAACACCACTCTCTGATTGCCCTTTGCCACTCAGTGTAGTTTCCCCATCTACTTCTGTTGTTTTTGTTGCGTCCCCAGAACAGCCTTCTGTGTTTTTATACTCCCTTTCATTTTTATGATGAGTTAGCTCATATCTGTCCTCATCATAATGTCTACTGGCCTCATACCAGCTGCTGGAGTGTTGTTTGTATTTTTCCACTGACCTGCTGGAGTAATCAGACCCTACTGGAGATGAGAAATACTTGCCCTGACCTGAGCTATGTCTTCTAAATGGTTCCTTTCTCCCCTCTACTTCCCTTTCTAATTTTCTAGAATAATATGCCCTGGTTTTATCATCTGACCTCTTGTGATATGAACCTGAGGAACCCCTCCTACTGGAAGAGGATCTATCTGTTTTACCCTGTTTTTCGATTTTGCTGCTACTTGCCTGAGTCTTGGAACTACTATAAGAATCCCTTGAATCTTCAGACCTACCTCCAAAAACGTCTTCTTCATCAGCTGACATCCTTGATTGAGAACATTGTCTATCTTTCTCTCTTACCTCTATCTTTTGATAAACTAAACTGTCCTGCCTCTCCAGCAGTTTTTCCATTTCAAACTTTTGGTTAAGGAAGGAAGCAGAGGTATCAGCTGGAGGCGAGTACCACTCGTCTTTCCTACTCTGATCTTTCTGAGGAAAAGATGCCCTAGCTGAATGCTTTTTGGAGCTGTGGGAGGACTCTGACCGATTCCGATGCCTTTTCTTCCGCTTTTTGTGATCGGAGGAAGAGGACGATGAAGAGGAGGAATCTGATACATTGGAGGAAGAGTCACTTGAGGAGGAAGAGGAAGAAGCTGATTTTTTCCTTTTCTTCTTCAGCCTAAAAAGGTAATTAGTTTATGAGAACATCTCCAATTTCATCTAAAGTTTCTGGCAAAGCCTTGACACTTTGCAGATCCCCAGAACACAGTCCTTCAACTCAGAACTGCTGCAGGACCAGAATATTCACATATCCTCAAGTGTAAAAGAAAAAAAAAAAAAAAGGTAATGGTGACATGGATGGAATCTTTTAGCTAAGTTTTTAACAACAGAATGGGATCTAAAAAAGTAATGTAATGGATCAACTGGAAAGGGCATGAAAGCTGAAGGCGACCCTCGCCATTTGCAAGGGATACGTTCTCATATCCCCCGTGAATGGCGAAATCCGCGAATAAGCCCCCGGTGGTGAAGGGGCGCAGCACGGGTCCGGCGGTGATGGCGGGAGCCCAGCAGCAGCAAGCACGGAGCTCCCGAGGAGCTCCTGTAAGCGTATGGAGTGCATTTAAAATGTGGGTTCAGCCCTCGCAAATATTTGAAACGGCAAATGTTGAACCCACGAATAGCGAGAGTTTCCTGTATCTATTTTTCGGGGGGACCAGGCTCTTGAAGTGATACAGTAAGCAAATTACCCCAGCTATCTTTAAAGGTTAAAACTTGGATAAGCTAAAATAAAATATTTCTTAAAGTCACACACACACATAAGTTCTGCTGTTTCAAGTGTTTAGCTGAGATCCTTATCTAACATCAGATGTGAGCAGCAGCTAAAAGAAATGAGATAAACCTGAAGAGCCTTGGAAACACCAAACTGCCATGATTTTAAGCATTATTTCTTTGCCGGGACTACTTGAAGAATCAGGCTGTCTACAGCCTTGATATTATAAAGAAGGGCTTCTGATTAGCTACTCTATACTTCTCCCATTATACTCAGGGGACACTAAAAAACACCCTCTGGAAAAATCTGCGGGAGGGTAAATTAATAATAAAAAAACAGAACCAAATATATGAAAATGGATTCTCCTAAGTTTTATATGCACCTGTCCCTTATTCCTCTTTTGAAGCCACAGTCCCACAAAATAATGCCTGGTTGCCAACAATGTCACAGACAAACAAAGACAATTTCAGATGGAAGTTTAGGGGCAAGAATTAATGAACTATCATCAGACCTCCTTTTATGTCACAAAGGTAAAAGGATGGGTAAGAGTGGCATATGGAAATTTATCCATGAACCACCCAAGGCAGTTCAGTGGCTTTATTTAAGCATTGGGCTGAATTTTTTCATTTAATATCTGATCTATTAGTTATCTGTCAGGAAAATGAAGGCCAAGTCACTAATCTAAACGAAAATGTTGTAGTAAGAACAATGAGGGGCTCATTTTAGTTACTAAAACAAACAGCTGTTTTACTTGCATCTTCATAAAATGAACCTTACCCTCCAACACTAGTTAGCAATGGACTCTTAGGGTTTGGACAAATGGTCATTTTCTACAGGGAGAGTCCCTGCTCTCTCAGGAGAACCACAAGCGTACATTTTTAATTCTTCTCCCACCACACTAGGAAAAAAACTTGGGAACATCCTAAGGGAAGTGGATCCCTGGAGAATTTCTTTCAGGAGACAGAATGCCTGTACAGGGAGCAGATGCAGAGCTGTCCTCTGGAATCCCAGCATGCTTTGCTTCTTTTTCCTCCCACTCCCATAGGACTTTGTGTCAGTTCCAGCCAAACATGGCCTGCAAATGCTTCAGGCTAAAAAAGCCCAGCACTGAAGCACTTAGGGGGCATGTTCTGCTCTTGGCTTTTTCAGTGTCTTGGGGTCTGCTCCAGACAGACCAGAACCAGCCAACCTGCCCCCTGTACTGTTACCCCAGCCCTGACTGCAGCACTTAGGTGTTGGGAAGTGCAGGTCCCTGCCTAACTGCAGCTAGGCTGAAACAACGCAGAGCGCTCAGGGTGGACAGCTGTGTGCACAGGACAGGCACAAACCTGCCACCTTCCCCTTCCCTAATGTGGCAACCACCTGCCCCCTCCCGTGACCTGGCAGACCCCTGCTGGGACTAGAGCACTTTGTTCCTTGGCTGGGATGACCTAGTTGGGGATGGTCCTGCCTTGAGCAGGGGTTGGATTAGATGTGACCTCCGGAGGTCCCTTCCAACCCTCATTCTCTACAGTTCTGTGATGAGACAGCAGACAAGTGCAGGGTCTCCTCTGTCAAAGCCTCACTAGAGGGAGTGAGGGGGCAGGGATTTTAAGCCCAAATTCCTCAGGGGCCTGGTTCCAGGCAGGAAGTCAATCAGTGCTGACCTGTGCCCTTGCTTATGTCCCTGTTGCTGAACTGAAAAAGAAACCTGCAAAGCTCTTTGAAATGCATGCTCTGCAGACCCCTGGCAGCCCAGGGTCAGTGCTGCAGGCTGCTTGTTTCCCTACTTGAGCTGCTGTACAGTTAAGTTTTCCCATTAGGAAAACAAACCTGGGAGAGTTCTCCTGAATGATTTGAATGCATGTACACAGCCTGAGTACAGACAGAGTATAGTGAATATAACAGGGTTACCTTTTTTCTTCTTTTAAGAGTTTACGCAATTTTTGTGCACTTGTTTCTATTTTCTTTTCTTTCTGTCTCTCTTCTTTTGCAGCTTGCTTCT